TGCTGCTGCTGTCTTCAGTTTATTCAGGCGACGAACAGGCATGTGCCTGGGGCAGGGAAGCAGCCCAAGACAGGGAAGGCAATGGGAGCCTAGAGGGAGCGCTAAGCTCACAGGAGGACAAGACTACCAGAGGCTTTCAATCACTCTCCTTGCTCCAAAAAGAGTGGAAGTAAAGAAGGACAGACCTGAGCAATGTACAGCTGGACACAAGTACTGCCTGCACTCCTCGCAGATCTCAGCAGCTCCCAGGTCGAAGCTACAGACTCCAGGACTATGTGGCTGCCTTGAATGTATGGAATTAATTCAATTTGTCCTTATTGACCACCTCTCTTTGAGGGATAAGCAAGTCAGGGAGATGTCATGTTGCGCAGCACAAGAGTAATGACGGAGAGAAACGACCCTGAGAAAGCCCACCTTCCTTGAGCACAAACCATAACCATCAGCCCGTCTGACCCAAACCCTCCCCACCAGGACTTTGTCCATTCCACCTTACCGAGCAAACCTGCGCAGCTCTTCCTGCTGCCTTTGCATCCCCTGGCTTGAAGAGTGGAATTTCAGCTCAACAAGCTCTTCTCGCAAGCCAGCTCAGCACTAATTCCTTAAGGAGCAGACTTTGCCTCTGTGAGTGAGGCCACACCATTTCTGTGCTGCTAACACCTTAGCTGCACATCCAGCCATCACTCCATTGAGCCTTCATCCCTTCCAAATCCGCTCCCAAACTCTCCTTTTCTATACATGGCTTCATCCTGCAAGTCTGCTGTCTGCTCTCCCATCCACTCACACTAACTTGCTCTAAACTCATTTAGTAACTAACTGCTTGACACTGGGACATGACTGACTTGACTGAGGTCCAGAGCGCCCTTCACCACACTGAAGTTTCCTGTTAGCAGTAGCCACCTTTGCTGTATTTCTGGGCTCTCTCACCTGTGAGACTGTGATGCCACATTTCTTGGCTAGCTCTTCTTTGGCTTCCTCACTGGGGTAAGGGTTGCTGAGATGGGAATAGAAATACTCATTCAGGATTTCCGTAGCCTGCTTGTTGAAGTTTCGTCTCTTCCGCCTTTAGCATGAAGAAAGAGGGGAAAACAGAAGGAAAAGGAAACGGAATAAGTGCCAGGGATCCAGAAATGGGAATGCACTTCTAGATACTCTAACTTTCCCCACTTCTCTCCCTCCTTCCCCTGCTCCTGGGAGCACAGAATACAACAGGTTCATAGCCAGGAAGCTTCTCATCTGCACCTTGCTGGTGACTTCTCTCTCAAGTTAAGCGTCCTTCTCAAACTATCACTGTATCCTCCAGCCTGCAGAAGACTCTTAAAACTCACATCCAGCTCCTCCACCTAGGAAGTGACTCCCAGCAGCTGGCTGCACTGGCCAAAGACATCACTGCTGCTCTGCAAAGCTCCGTAGTGAGAAAACAGCGATGGATATGTCCTTGGGGAAGTCTGTTCCATTTACAGCTGGGTGCTGTCTGCTACTTCTTCCCTCATACCCCCAGTGTAGCTGTCTCTCCTCCCCACCCCACGGTGCACCCAAGCCACAGCCCATGTGTAACCAGCTTGGGCAGGGAAATAATTCTACAGCAAATTGAAAACCTGGGACAATGGAAACAGAAGGAAAAAACAGGAACCTAGATGGGGTGGGACGGGCTGGAGGATTAGCTTTCATCCCCAACTGAAGTGCACATTTTCACCACAGAAGAGCAAAACCAGGATACACAGTTCTCAAGGTACAGAGGCTGGATGACTCGAATTGCTGTCCCCTCTCCTGCTGAGCCACAGACAGCTAAAGGATAAGGAAGGTAAATAGCCTCTGCGGCTCAAGACCAAGAGACATGGCCCTTCAGATGGACCTGAATGCACTCCAGAACCTCGAAACACCCCTCCCAGGCCTGAACAATACTGCACAGTGGGTGAGGGAGAAAGGTCTGGGGTGGATTAACTCACCGTGCGTCCAGAAATCGGGAGCGCAAGATCATGACGGCTTCACACGTGCTTTGCTTCAACTGCATCTGAATGGAGCTGAACTTGCGGTGGATGATGCTCACCATCCGCTCTATCTCCTTCGGTGAGATAGGTCGGGTCCGGCTCTGCTCGCGCAGCAGGTTCATCACATGGGTGGTGAATTCGTTGCATGCCTGGGATGGCAAAAAAAGCAAAAGAAACCCCAGGATCGGAGGGTCATTCGACAGTGTCAAGGACAGTACAGAGGCAACGCTGCTATGGAAGGAGACACAAGCAGAGGACTCAACGGCTGGGGGTTTTTAGGGCAGACCCAGAGCAAGAGTGTGCTGGCTCTCAGGGCAATGATAAATTTCTCTCATCTGCTGAGCAGAGGGCAGGAGAGACTCCCAACAAACACACTGACAAAGGGAGGAGCCAATTTCTTTGCTTCCAGGGATCACGGACGGAGCTGGGGCAGCTGAAGCCCTAGGACTCCTGTAAAGCATGAAGAAGTCCCAGCAACTGTTCTTCTGGATGGGACTAGAGGAGCTACTGTTGTATCTGAGGAGGACCATGAACCTTTTGCCTCGCTGTCCCTCCTCCTGCCGCCCCAGCTGGACCCCAGCATCATGTGCCCTGCAGAGCCCCTTGTGCTTCCCAGGAGCAGCTCCCAAAGAGACACGGTGCTGCTCTGCACTCGTAGCACATGAGAGAAGAAGTAAATAATGATAAAAATTAAAGCCTGAGTGAGGCAGGAGCCCTGACAAGTAAGGGAAAGCAGGTAATCATCCTGGTTAGTTTGCTGCTGGCACAGCCCCGTCAGGCTGCTCCCCCTGTCCCTATGCCATGCCACGAGGACAGGGCAGCCAGAGGAGCTGGGGGACAAGGGAGGGATTTGAGGCTGAAGGCCACTTCATTGCTCTCTCTCCCATCCCCATGAGCATCTCATGGACACAACAGGATCCTCCAATTCCCAGACCCAAGCCCCAAAAACCAGGCTGAGAGTAGCACTCGAACACTGATGGCTCGAAAAGCCTTTGGTGCTCCTGGGACACAGGCAGCTGCTCGCGGGACAGCATCCCCAGTTCCCACCCCATGATGGGGAAAAGGGGGCTAGCAGGGGATTTTGTGGACTGCTGACATGGGCTTGACTTACTGTGTTCTACCCCACCAGTCCAAACCTACCCAGGGCTCACACCCAGTGGGGAGGCCATCCCCGAGGCCAGCAGAGCCCCTCCAATGGCCCATCACCAGCTCCAGCCGACAGCTCCCATCACCCAGGGCGAGCGTCAGCTACCAGAGCTCTCAGCCCGGTGCCTCTTTGCTCCCTGACGCCCCAGCAATTTCAGCTTTTCTCCTCTTCGAGTGAAATAAAGAGCATTAAAGGCAAAATTGCTGGCAAGCGCTGTGCTGTCACAGCAGCAGCCAGACGCCACACGAAGCCAGGCGCTGAGCTCCCCCAGCCACCAACAACGGGACCGAAGAGAGGTGGATGGATGTTGAGAAACCCTGAATCCTGGTTTTGCAGGACTGTGGGTGACGATAGCGGACCTGTGGCTTGCCACAGCTGTTTGCAAAGCAACTTGGTGGTAAAACCAACCCCGTCAGTGGGTTGTGAGAAGGAAAGATGGGGCCCATCTGTCCCCACGGGGATGGGGTAAAGGCTTCTCACCTGCATGTCCCTTTGGGGATCAAAAATGATGCAGAAAGAAAACCAGAAAAGCAAACAAACAGATTTCCTGCCCAAGGGGAGGAAGGAGCAGAAGGTCCTTCCCTGAAGCCTGTCCCCAGCTGTGCCCTTAGAGAAGGGTCCTTGTTGGCTCTGCCCTTCATGGTCTCTCCTTGGGCTTGGGTGACAGAGGATGTGGGGTCTCCCTCTGCCTCTTCGGCCAGTGGGCTGAAGGATGATCCCTGACATGCTCTCCACTCCTACCGACATGAGGGCTGAGGCTCCATCATGCCATACCACCCTGCGTCTGTGCTTTGAGGGAGTGACAGCAAGGGCTGAGGACAGCAACCAAAGGTCATCCTTCCAACCTGCCCCCTGCCACCCCTCCTCCTCTAATGCCCTGCAAAATGCCTTCCATGCCATCACCATGCTCAGCTTCTCCAACACCAGAGCCCCACCTGGCCACCCTGACCCCAGCTCCAACCCAGAAGCACCCATCCAAGGTAGCTCCACACTACCCCTGGGCATAGGTCTGAAGATGCCACCCAGCAGCCTCAGCTTGGCCAGCGCGGCACTTGAAGGGCGAGACACCCCCCAGCTCCACCATGCATCCAGTTGGCTGGTTCAAATGGGGGCCAGGCTGGTTTGCCTACACAGACCCCAGCACCAGTGGCTGCTCACAGCCCCATCGCATCGGCAGAGACGGCGTTAAACCAGAGATCTGAAACCCCGCCTGGCCCTGGCCACGGAGCCCATCCTGCACCCGAAAAGGAGGGATGCTTCCTCGCTCGCACTCCATAACCACAACCTCGGGGTAGAAACCACATTCATCACAAGGGCAACCCGCACGGTGATGAGGAGAGGTCTGCAAAACATCTGGAAGCGTTTGAAAGAAACCAGTTTTGAGCGTTGGCCTGCGAAGCTTTTCATGTAATTGCCAGTGTTTCCAATAGCTGCATTCATGACCCAAGTAGTCTTTCTTTTTCTTCTTTTTAAGAATCATTTTCCACAAGAAAAAAGACACTTTTTTTTTTCTGGAAAATGAATTTTTCAAGCAGAAAAAATATTCAAGGAAAATTTTTATTCAAGCCTTGCTTGGAAAACTGTCTGCACCGATGTCAGCACCTCGAAGAGGATCCCCCATTCAAAGGGCCAATTTTTGTCAAGATATTAAGGGAGGAGTGAAAAGCAAAAATCAAAGGGGTGACCCACACCGAGCCTATTCTTGTGCCACATCCCAGTGCAAAACCCCAATCCACCCAAACTAAAAAAGCAGGTTTTCCCTCCAATGCCAAGCAACAGCTTGCATTTGCCCGCGTGCTCCAAACAATAGATGTCAGCAGCAGTCCAGGCTGTGCACATCCACGCCATGGTGCCGGCGCTGGCCGGTGGCTTTCCAGGCTGCTCTGGCTCCTGCTCCCACCATCCCGTGACCACCACCCCTGGGCAGCCCTGCCCTCCGCCGCGAAGGAGCCTGTTACCTGCTCGTACTTCTCCAGCTCCGTGTGGTAGATCTGCCGGATCTGGGAGAGTTTGGCTCTGTAGTCGGAATGCTCCACCGAGTTGTCGGAGCCAGCTCCTCCTGACGCGGCGGCGGCACACCCAGCCCGCGGCACAGAAGCGCAGCAGCGGCTGAGCCGCCTCCTTTTTCAGGGCCCGCTACACCCTCGGCCAGGAGCATGTTGTCTAACCGCATCAGCTGGGGGTCTGTGGGCTCCTCTTCCTGTGCTCCCCGGATGCTCAGCACTGCAGGAGACACAAAGGGGAGAGGAAACCTTGAGTCATACCTGGGGCTTAACTCGGGGATGGGGATGCTCATCCAAATGGGGATGCTCACCCCAGGCTGGACCAGGGGGGCTCAGTCCCCATCAACGGTACTCTTCTTCCTTTCCTGAGGGTGCTCTGGGTGCGAGCACATTGCCTTGGGTCTCCATCTCCCTGCTCCCCTCCCTGCCTCTTCCTCTGCTTCCCACAGGGAAGAAGTAGGGCAGAACCAGGAGAGAGCTCACTGCAGAGCTAACCCAGAAAGCCACACTTTGTGCTCAAGCACACAGCGAAACTGCTGTCAACACCAACCAAAAAACCCAATAAATGTACCTATTCTTGCCTCCAGCAGGGATACGGACCATATCCCAACACAAACATGGGATGGGAAGTTGTGAGTCTCCAGCCCAGACCTCAGCTCGCCCAGGGGTCCTCTCATGTCACCTAGCGTGTGGTTTACAGCCTGATCCTGTACCATTTGCATCAGCCACCAACCCCAGATGGCAGAGGAAGATGCCCAGAGCCCATGGCCGACCGTTCCTCAGTTTCTCTGTCTTCAGATACAGACAGAAAGGGCTTGCAAAGCCATGTTTTTAGCCACGCAGCGAAAAAACAAGCTAAAAAAAAAAAATTAAATAAATTTTATTATTTGGAAAATGCCTTTTTCTTTTCAGAATACAGTCATTCCAGTGAAGAAAAGGGGCAACAATAAATTAATCCTCCTGGAGCAACTTTCCAAAGAGAGAATTTTCCTCTCCCACTTGCACTCCCCACCTCAATTACTGCTTCGAGTAGAAGTCCTTCTCCTGTGAGAGCTTTCCTGGAAAAACCACATGGGAGCATCCCGACCACTCAGGATATCCCAGGTCTGAAGGACGGAGGTGCCCTACGTGCCCTTCGTGTGTCCCCCCATGGTCTGTGTTTGAACACAGAAGCGTAACTCGAGATTCCCGCATATACACACACAGGTGTGCACAGCTGCAAAATAAATAAATAGAATAAATCCTTGATGAGCAAACAAAATAGGCATTTCCTAAGAGAAATGAATTGTATTTCCCCACCTCGTCTGGCACAGGAGCTCGAAGCACTTTTCGTAAATAATCCCTCTGCCTTGGGCCGAGCAGACACTCGTGCACATGGAATCACATCCAGAGCTGGGTAATGTTGCGTGGATTTTATTTAATAAAGCCGTGCCCGCTTACACCCGACATGAATTTGACCCCCTGAATCTACAGCGCAAACAAGAGCAAGTGATTCTCCCTGTCACTCAAAAAAACCAAGACCAAATCTAAAATCAGTGGGCAATGAGAAGTAAAAACCAGAGCAGCTAAAAAACCCAGGCAAACACTGCGTATGGTCTTCCTCACTCTGAAATAAGTTAAAGACACTGCTAGTATCAGTATAAAATGGAAGTAAAAGACCCTGTTGAGAGGTTTAGCTAACACAATAAAGAGCTAGAGAGATAGAAAAACGCCCAACAACCGTAAATTTGCCAATAAGAGCTAATAATAAATAATTCCATGCTAGGGAGGATTGTTTCTGTACAGAGGGATGGGGCTGCAGTGCCAAATTTGGAGCCGGGTGCCAGCTGCCGAGCCTGGAGGAGACGGGACCAGTATCTCCCCCGGAGACTTCATCAAGAAAATGGTTTGGGGTCTGCAATCCATAAACTGAAATAAGAGGTAAAAGTAGCCAAAATCCTTAAAAAGACAAGAGGAAAATGGGGAAGTGACAGGCTATGGGAGATTGACAAACTTGCTATGAAAAAAAAGAGATCAAATTCTTATTCTTCCAGGACAAAAAAAAAAAAAAATAAAAAAAAAAAGTCACAAAATTAAAGCACATCAAAAGCCCAAATAGAAATGGAAAGCAACATGGATAAAAGAAAAAAACAACTAAAATTAAAAACTCCCAAATAAACAAATCAAAAGCAGAGTTGCCAAAACAGTGCATCTGGATTTCAAAAGGGAAATATTTTTAGAATAAAAATCTCAGGAATCATTGACCTGACAGGTAGGCACAAGTGATTAATTAGTTGATGTTTAGAGAGCTGCTTCCCGATGAAAAGCGCTGCAGAACCCCTGAGCTGTATCGCCGTGCGACACGCGCAGACCAGCGCCTGCCCCGAGTGCGCGCATCCCGAGCATCTGACGGATGCAGGTCCGGCAGCAGAGACCCGAACCCAGTCGGGGACCGTGTGGAGACTTGGCTGCTCGCTCGGAGTAATGATAGAGAGTAAATAAATTGAAAGGCCAACGTGTCTAAGCAGAACTGATGCTGCCTATTTATCCCTGGAAGGCTGCGCTCAGTCGAGGAGAAGACAAAACGATTATTTAAAAGCTCCTTTTTTATCTTCCCGGTGCTGTCCCCAGTTCCAGCGCAGCTCCTGCCAGGATGCCTGGGGTGCTGGGCTCCCCGGCAGCTCCAACCCACCAAAAACCCCCCCCATGATGGGATGCAGCCCACAGTCTGCTGGCTGGGGGGCTTCGGGTGAGCTGGTACAGGCAGCACCCGATGTGCAGAACCTGGGTGGCTGATGGTGAAAGTCCCTCACTCTCCCCAGGCTGCTGGCTCTCCCACCAAATTAAAATAAAATAAATTAAGCAGAATGATCCTCCGTGGTCCAGCAGCAAGCCAGAGCCAAGGGGCTGCGGGCATGCTCCCCACATGCCCTGGCATCTGCAGGACCTGCCATTTGCTGCTCCTGATTAAAGAGAGGAAAGAAAGAAAAAAAAAAAAAAAAAGGAAGAACAAAAAGAAAGATAGTGACTGGCAGCCGGGGGGGGGGAAAATCA